TATAAAAAGGTCTTTTTTTTTTTTTTGGGTATTTAAGCTTTCTACACCTATAGAAACACTTCTACGCTTTTAGAATTTTTATTTATTAGCAGGACACCGACCCTGTCCTGTTAATAAAAAATGTCTGGCTAATGTCGGTGTGTATTCATACCAAAAGTCCTCTTAATTAACAAAGGTGCACACACACACACACACACACAACACACACACACACACACACACACACACACACACACACACACACACACACACACACACACCTTGGGTTTTGAAGACTGATAAATCCTAGATGGATGAACAAACTTTGCAGCCCAGTTTCCCAGCTTTGCAGTCTATCCACGGGTATGCCTCTTGTTTCCTCCGCCACATCTCCTCCGTCCATACCTCTGGGAAAGGTGAGCTTGAGCTAGCCAGGGGAACGTTGCTAGCGCAGCTAACGTGCACATTAGCTAGCATTATCCACGTCTTTAGGCGGCTCTTCTGATGATGTAGTACTCGCAGCTTCACTTGTAGCTTCGGTGCTGCTAGCCTCTTTCTTCTTGTGAATTATATTCTTTTTAGAAAATAAGTCAAGTAAAAAACGTTTTCCTTCCATTATAGAGCTTTTTCGTTAGCGTTCTTGAGGGAAAGAGCTGCCGCAAAATCGACGGGCGCGGCGAGCTGGCTCACTGTGGGTGTGTCAGTGACTATGGTCAGTGACCGCGGGGTCAGTATGAATCATACTTTTTTAAGGAAATCGTTTTTATTTTAATTACTGTGAAATGTATTATGTTTTTGTCATTATTACAACAAATACAAACTTGCAACTGATAAGACTGGCAATGATTTTATATGTATTAGACTATTAAAAAAAAGATCATGCTCCAAATAAGTGGGGGTACGGCGTACCCCCAAGTCCAACGCCCACTACACCACTGCCTCTAACCAATTCAGGCTCCAGTGGGGACCTTTCTCCCTGCGTGCCTCTCCACCTCTGTTTCCTACTTCTTACTTGCTACCCTTTTTTCTCACCCTATCCTAAGGGAGTGCATGTATGTAGACACGTTAGTCTAGCTGCTATAGGCTTGTACTGTTGGGGGGGGACCTTACTCCGTCTTTCTGGCTGTTTGTACCTGTGTACTCTCATGTTCCGATTAACCCAGTTTCCCCCAAATCTCTTTTCGAGTTAGTCGAGGCTAATCATGTTGCTGTGGTCGTGTGTCCTGGATCCTCTATCCTGAGTCCTGGATCCTCTATCCTGAGCACTGGATCTGAGTCCTGGACTTCGAGTCGTGGCTGAACCTGTCTCTGCGGTCCTGCCAGACTCTCACCATACTACTTCCCTGATGGCTCCCACAGGATTGTTGATATCCTCGTGGATTCATCTTCTTATTACAGACACATGCATTTCCTAACATTTGGACTACCTATGCTGTGAAATGTATTATCTTTTCAATTACACACGGCATCTATTGCACATCTGTCCGTCCTGGGAGAGGGATCCCTCCTCTGTTGCTCTCCCTGAGGTTTCTCCCATGTTCCCTTTAAACTGTGGGTTTTCTCCGGAAGTTTTTCCTTGTACGATGTGAGGGTCTAAGGATAGAGGGTCTAAGGACAGAGGGTCTGAGGACAGAGGGTCTGAGGACAGAGGGTGTCGTATTGTCATACTGATATTCTGTACAAACTGTGAAGACCACTGAGACAAATGTAACATTTTTGATATTGGGCTATATAAATAAACATTGAATGATTGATTGATTGACACACACACACACACACACACACACACACACACACACACACACACACACACACACACACACACACACACACACACACACACACACACACACACACACACACACACACACACACACACACACACACACACACACACACACACACACACACACACACACACACACACACACACACACACACACACAGGTGTGAGTGTTTGTATCAGTTCTGTGAAAGTCACACACCCTGACCCCAGGGTGGCAGTTTCATTGGAAGAACATTGAGAAATAATTGTGGTGAAGTAAAAAAACCAGGAATGTACAACACACACACACACACACACACACACACACACACACACCTCTCCCTTTCTCACGCTGCATGATAATAATAATAATAATAATAATAATACATGGGACTTTTATAGCGCTTTTCATGAAACTCAAAGACGCTTTGACAGAGAATTAAGAAAAATAAAGACAAGAGAAAATAAAAAAAAGAGATAACAAAGAAATACAAAAAGAGATAAACAAAACAGAAAATAGGGGGGAGGGGGTGGTCAGTGGTTGAATGCAGTGTTGAACAGGTGGGTTTTGAGTGATGTTTTGAATGCTGTGAGGGAGGAAGAATCTCTGATGGATTGGGGTAGTGAGTTCCAGAGGGTGGGTGCAGTAACGGAGAAGGCTCTGTCGCCCCAGGACTTGAGGTTGGTCCGGGTGGGGAGGGACTGGAGGTTGGCAGCAGCAGAGTGGAGGGAGCGAGTGGGAGTGTGTCTGTGGAGGAGGTCAGTCAGGTAGGATGGGGAAAATAAAGGAGAGAAAGACAAGAAAGAGGAACTAAAGGGCGACAGTATGTCACCCAGTTTTTCAAAAGAAAAGGTGGGTGTGGTCCTTGAGTGGTGGAAATTAGTCTGTTAGCTAAGCGTAGTCCATTGTAAATAATCATTGTAATGTTTTGCTGACATTAAAGGTGGGGTAGGTGTTACGGTGTGTGTAGGAAGCAGGACCCAAATGCAGATTATAGTGACAAAAATCACTCCTTTATTTCAAGGCTAAATTAATCACAAAGACTGAACAGAACACTCACCGAAGACCAGGTCATAACACAAGACGAACCAACAAAGACAGACAGAAAAACCAGAACTTAAATACACACAAGACTAATTATACAAACAAGACGCAGGTGAGGAGGGAGGAGAAAACACAGGGACACCAGGTGAACACAATTGGGTAATAAGACACACCAGGGAAACTAACGACAGGGAACCACAGACAGATCTAAAGACAAAACACAACACAACACAGACAGAAACAGGCAAGACAGGAGGTGAAGACATTTCAAAATAAAACATGAAACAAAAGACAGAAAAAGACAAGACAAAATACAACACAGACAGATCTTGACAGTAGGTACGTTTGAGAAACCGGCTCGAGATACACTTTTTGTTATATTCCATGGAATGCTCTTAACATCCCGATAGCAATGACTATCTGAAGTGCTTCGACAAAAAATACATTAAAACATATCATCTGTGGAAGCCGTGGCGCTGTAAAAAGCACGACCAATCATCTGAGCCGGCTAAAGTAACTGGATGGCCTACCTGCCTGTCAGCCTTCCATCTGTGCACAAACTTATCTCGTGCCCTCATTGGTCATGTGCGCGTTCGTGTGTTTTGGAGGAGGGGCTCTGGAAGGAAGTGGCAGATTTCTTCCGGTTGTGTATTTTCAAAACTACCGACCCCACCTTTAAGTACTGTTAATATCTTCACAGAAAATTCAGAGGTTTTTCATTTCACTCCTCTTTTAGCTGACATTTAATAAATGCAGGCACATTTTTAGCAGCTATTCAATGTTCATACTAAATCAGTTGTCCCTACCCCTGGTGCCAGGACCAACAGATCCATCTCTAGGCTCCGCAGCCCTGTCCCCCCATAAGGCTGTGCAGTCTTGCTGTCCATTGAAAGCCAGTTGGCTAGAAAGCTGGACTTCAAGGACTTGATCAGTGACTTTGCCTGTAAGAAGGCTAGGCGCTGGGCTCTTGGTGAGTAAGGCTGAGCCAGGGCTCATAATAACTGTTGAAGGGCAAGGCTATGGTAACGGTATTGGATCACTACACACAAGATGCATGATGAGAAAAATACTGAGAACAGGTGATAGGCTCTGATTTAGCACCACCATCAGGCCTTTTCACTTCCATTTCCGTTTTGTTGTCCGAACGTTCCATTCAAAAATGTTATTAAAAAGGCATGTTCACCATGAAAGATGACTATTGAGATCTATTGTCAGGAATGTTAGTGTTATATCAAATAGTGAATTCTACTGCAGCAGAATGTTGCACGTCTGCACAGTGTTATATGTTCACCGCTCAGTGTCAGTAAATATTGTGCAGTTAGTATTGGACTACAAGATAGATGCAAGCCTGTACAGGTAGAGTTATTCAAAGCATAAATGAGTGGGTTGGGTTCTGGAGGTGTGGTTACAGCATTGTGCTTGGTTGGCGTGGCCTGGGCCTGGTGGTGGGGCCCAATGTGATATATTTTCATGGGGCCCAAAATCCTGGCTGGTCTACCTGCATGTGCCATCCGACCTCTGCAGCTCATCCAGAATGCAGCGGCTCGTCTGGTCTTCAACCTTCCTAAATGTTCACACACCACTCCGCTCCTCCGCTCCCTTCACTGGCTTCCGGTAACTGCTAGAATCCACTTCAAGACACTGGTACTTGCGTACCATGCTGCGAATGGATCTGGCCCTTCGTACATCCAGGACATGGTTAAACTGTACACCCCAGCACGTGCACTACGCTCTGCATCAGCCAAACGACTCGCTGCGCCCTCGCTGCGAGGGGGACCCAAGTTCCCATCAGCAAAAACACGTGGGTTTGCTATCCTGGCTCCAAGATGGTGGAATGAGCTCCCATTGACATCAGGACAGCAGAAAGCTTACACACCTTCCGGCGCAGACTGAAAACTCATCTCTTTCGACTCCACTTCGAGCGTTAGAACTATTAACAAAGCACTTATATACTAATAAAGGACTGGCTTACCTAAAGCCAGTTGAGTAGCACTTGAAATGTTTGGCTCTATGAAACCTGATGTACTTTATGATTCTGTTTTCTTCAAGGTTGTGTCTTCCTGGTCGAATGTACTTATTGTAAGTCGCTTTGGATAAAAGCGTCAGCTAAATGCAATGTAATGTAATATATAGTGGAACTACACTCTTTTATCAAAACCAAAGTGCCACGCAGTAACTTGGTATGCATGTATTTCAGCAGGAAATGTGCAACCATTATATTTACCAACACAGACTTTAGAAATATTTGTAAAAGTTGTTCATGCGCTATTAAGTGAATATGGCATTAACCCTCCTGTTGTCTTTGGGTCGGTTTTCATGTATTTTTGAATAAAGGTTTCCTTTAGGTGATCCAGACAGGCTGGACCAGTGGGTGCTGAACATCCGGAGGAATAAATGGACCCCCAACGTTTCTTCTCGCCTGTGCAGTGAACACTTTGAGAGTCATCACTTCAGCACGGACTCATGGGTACAGATCCTTTTTTTTTAAATAACTTGGTTCCATTTGTGAGTGTAAATGGTTGTTACTAATTAAATACATGTTATACATCATACAATGCTAAATAATTGTTACGGCACAGCTTGCACATCAGTGATGAGTAATGTTTTTTTGATTAAAGGCCAAATTAAGATTTTGCCAGTTAAGTATAGAAACATAGAAATCGAATTGTTTTGCAAACCATCACATTTCTCTTCAATGTATGCAAAGACTCTTTATCATAGATGGAGAATTGCCATTTCCCCCCACATACTCTATGTTAAAAACAGATGAATTATATTACCTTTTTGTACATTATTTTAATAGCAACATTCATTCATCTGTTGTCATCTTATAACTTATTTATCTTAACAGCTATCACTGTAAAAAAAAAAGGATTTAATTTCATCGTACTATATTTATCTTTACATTCTGTTCTTGCATATGTCTTATTATATGTACGTGTATATAGATTTCTGCCTGCACTAATTTATTATTCTTAATTTAATTTTGAATGTATTTTATTGTTTTATGTCTTATATAACTATGTTGCATTGTTGGAGGAGCTCGGGACAGATGATTTTCATTGCCATTCCTACACTGTAGCCTATGTGCATATGACATACATCCTTTGAATCTGAATCTTGGAAACACGTAATTGTTGAATGGATTAACTGCATAGTTAACATGTTCACCCTCTATTGTCTTTTATAATGCACTCTTACATTTAAAACAACATTATTCAAAAGAAAGTTGAATATCTACAGACCTCAAAAAGTTATTTGATGTGTTTTTGTTTATTATTTTTATTAGGGAAGGAGATGCCTGAAAAACACTGCAGTGCCCACCATTTTCTATTTCACCAAAGAACACCAGCCTAGAAGGAAAAGCAGGGTGAGTAACAATGACGAGGTCAGTGACAGTCCTAGTTGGACTGTTAATAGCAATGAGGAGGAGGTTGCAGATGTAGACCATGGTAGTGGTGAAAACAGTCTTGCTGCTGATCAGAGCAATATCATTATGATACAAGACACACCTGAAGAAGCCTTTGTTGTTCCACATGTGGAGCATAATGACATTCCAACAGCCAATGCTTGTGAGGAGGATGTTGGTTTGGGTAGCAGCAGCCAACAAACAAAACACATTGGAGAGCAGGCAGACTCCGCCTGGGTCTTCAATTTGTTTGCTAAAACTGCACTTTAACTGTTGTGCATTTCAAGATAAAACCGTTGAATCTTTGAACCTTTAGTCTTTGAGTTATGTCAGTATATCGCCCATTCAGAATCTGAACGTTGTTAGAAGTGACTCGGCTGTTCCTTGCAGGAATCGCCCTCTGTGAGAAGGTCTATGCATCTAATACTGATTTTAATATTTCATATGTTCTTATTATGATGTGTTCATACTGTCTCTCCTGTGTGTCCTGTTCAGGTCACCAAGACGAGGCGTAACTGAGGAGGAGGATCGCTGAGTCTCTGCTGAGGTGTTTACCGCTTTATAGGATCAGGTCACATGTGTCTCAATGAAACAGCTACTAGTGGCTGATGTCTCTTTTGACTTGTTGGAGAGTCCTGGTTCTTGGATGTGGATCCTAAAGTGTATCATGGGTATTGTCTGTGATGTCAGGCTGTGTGCAGTTTGCCCTGAGCAGCTTGTGTGAGCAGCCACCAGAGGGCAGCATGGTGCAGGTTTGAACCAGCAGCTGACAGGAGGCTGATGGGATGTTAAACCCAGCAAAGATAACAGCATGCAGCTCGCTCTGTAGTATGAAACAGATTGATACACATACACACAAAGAAATACAACATGCAGTACAGGTTGATGTGTGGATGGAAATATACACAAAGGATGCACTCTGTTTAGTAGAGGGGATGTCTTGATTCATTTTGAGGTCCCTTTGAAGTAGTGTAGTAGTCTTGGGTCCATTATTCAAGTTTATGTGTCTGTTTATCTATAGTCGTTGTGTGTCTGTTTGTAGTTATTTTACGCAAGCGAGCCCCGATGCATCGGCCAGACATCGCCATCAGCTGATGTTCGACATCATTTCTGCCATCAGCAGATCTGCAATAAAAGGTGACATTAGGCCATGGTTAGTAGCTGATCTTAGCTGATGGGCTAATGTGAATTGCCCACATTGCCAACGTTCAGATCAGGGCTGGGCAATATACTGATATTACTTCAAAGTTGTGATTGGCCCCGGTACAAATATTGTTTTGGGCCCCCAAAGAGGGGGCCCAAAAAAAAAGCGCTGCTCTTGTGCTTGCTGTACATTATAGATGCAAGCTATTACATTTTTTATAATGCTACCGAACTTGCTGCTGCTAGCTACAGTACAGTACAGGTTGATTAAACGGTTCGCTCGTCACGCAAGGTATCACATGACATGAAAGAGAGCAAGGTCATTGGACAGACAAATTACAAACATAATTTAGGTTGCTTGGTTACTTTGAAGACTGCGTGAACCGGTCAATGCCATTGGGGCTCCAAAATAAAAACATATATAAACATATATATATATATAAAAAAATGTTTTTGCATTTTTGTTGTTGTTGCATGGGCCCCTTGCCGGCTCTGGGCCCCGGTGCGTTGCACCAGCTGCACCGGCGATAGTTACGCCACTGGTTCAAAGATTAAATGGTTTTATCGTCATATGAACAACAGTTGTAGTGTAGTTTTAGCCGGAGCTTGAAGTGGGGATCAAAGTTCCATTACGCCCTTATTCACATATTGGCTTGTTTATCAGTAAACAATTATTACAGTGAATAAAAAGCACAGTCCTTCCCAGTCTGCTCCAGGTTTAATTACACTGCCCTTCATTTGAAATACCAAACATATATCTATAGGTGGAGATGAAGCCCTTCAGAACTTAGATTAAAGAGTGCAGCGTGTACAAAAGATTAGATCTAATAGAGTATCCTACTCAAGGTCAAGTACAAGTTAGCGTACATAAATACACTTTACCCAAGAAAAATGACTTGCAAATAAATTGACAGAGAAAATGGAAAAATATATAAAATACTTCAGCCCAAGGGTTGTGACGAGGTGCTGATCTGGAAGTAGGACTATGTGCATATACTTTATTTATATCTGGTTATTTTGAGAAGGCCTGGGGCCTACACCTGATAATAACTTATCAAAATATGCATTCCTGAGTAGAGTAACTACAATTAACCAGAGTTCACTAAGTATTAAGCTACATGCATAGAAATAAACACAAATACAAAAACATCAAGGTCTCAAACACAGGTGTATATATATTAAATAAGCCCCATTGCAGCCACAGTCTATGCAGCCATGGCCGTTCCCACCATTAAGGTCACAGAGGTCCGGACCTCCAAGGTGCGCAATCTATGCCTGTGAGCGTGCTGCGCAAGCTGAGATAATGTGTTATGTGGTGTGCGTAGTTGAACCTTTTCAAATTTAAGTTTGTAGCAAGTAGAGGGCTGCTGCGTGCGTGCGTGTATGTGTGTGTGTGTGTGTGTGTGTGTGTGTGTGTGTGTGTGTGTGTGTGTGTGCGTGTGCGTGTGCGTGTGCTTGCACATTAGTCTTAAAGACCCCCATAAAGCTCAGATTATAACTCGAACCCTGGACGACAAGATGCATGATAACTTATATTGCAGCTATACTTTGGTTTAAACCCATGAATAAAATAGCTAGAGAGCTAAAGTTAATTTCATTCTGTCACGATCTGCCTGTATTGTATTTTGTCTTGTCTTGTTTCATGTTTTATTTTTGAAAGGTCTTCACTTCCTGTCTTGCCTGTTTCTGTCTGCGTTGTGTCTTGTTTAAACCTGTCTGTGGTTCCCGGTCGTTAGTTTCCCTGGTGTGTCTAATTTACCCGATTGTGTTCACCTGGTGTCCCTGTGTTTTCTCCTCCCTCCTCACATGTGTCTTGTTTCTGTGATTAGTCTTGTGTGTATTTAAGTTCTGGTTTTTCTGTCTGTCTTTGTCGGTTCGTCTTGTGTCATGACTAGTTCGTCGGTGAGTGTTCTGTTTTGTCTTTGTTTAGCACCTAGCCTTGAAATAAAGGAATTCTCACTTTAATCTGCATTTGGGTCCTACCTAGTGATGGCAAAATGAAGCTTTGAATGAAGCGTCGAACCACTTGGACAATTGTGTCGGAAATAGGTTCATTTCTCGAAGCTTCAGTTACAGCGACCTCTCCTGGCGAAGTGCAAGGCTGCAGTGGGTTTAACGTATCTTTGCCTTGAAAAACATTTGATGCACACACACACTAAGACTGAATATCATGTTCTATTTGCAATTAAAGATTGATAATTGTGTGTATTGGGTTATTGAGAAGAGACTAGAGAGTGCTGGACATGTTTTTGGGAGGAGAGGGCCTTTTATCAGTTATTAAAGTTGAAAAGCAATGATTAAAATACGTCCATTCCGGGATTTGAACCAGCTGCGCGGAAGACATCGCCGCATTCGGGCCGCCGGCTCTATCCACTGGGCTATCTATTCCTTAACATATTTAACTGTTTTTATATTACTCATTGTCCTTTTGTTCACAACTTCTCCACATTTCAAAGTGTTTCCCGAGCCAGAACAACCTATCTTACTTCCTGGCTTGCTCTATAATGATATCAAATGCAATAACAACAACAACTCAACAGCAACAACGCAAACTACGACAACAACCCACACATTGTGCATTGTTTAGAGCGGTCATAAAGTGTTGAAGCACTCAAGTTTGAAACTGTTTCAACCTGTCACCTGTCAGAATCGAGACGAGGCAGTGCATTGAATCGCGTGAATGGACCGTGAACCAGTCAAGTAGTGATGTTACGTATTGCGCCGAGGCTTCGGAGCGTGTGTCGAGTAATCCCCGAAGCTTTTTGTGAAGCATGTATCGAGGCTTGTATCGTTTTGGGCCAGTGACGTCATCGATGACAAACGAAGCCTCGCTGCCTGTCGATACCACGTGACTGCTTCAGGAAGCGATTCAGATCGGTTGAACCGTTGAACCACAACGCTCATAATACCCATGGATGTATAATAAGAACGATATTACCCGTTTGTACCCGGGCCTGCTGGTGACACGATGGAATTAAAAGAGCTCAAAACCTCACCTATATAGGTCGGAACATGTCATAAGTATAAATAGATACAAGCATAAATAAATGTAGGAAAAAAAACATGAATGAATAAATACAGGAATAAATATGTTACAGTATTTTCAGGGAGATTCAGCGTGTGTGCTGTGGCTCAGCTGGAAAGCAGTTGACTCACGACCGCAGGGTTCCTGGTTCAACGACTCGTCAATACGTATTTTTTGTTGTTTATAAAAGCTACAGCTAAATGAGATAATGTAGTTAATAAATGTATTCTTCGATATGGTTTAGCCTTTCTCAGGCTACAACATGGTTACGTTTATGAATATTATTAAGGAATACAAATCCCTATTTGTAATGTTTACCAGCCTCCAGGCCCGGACTGGCCATCGGGAGCACCGGGAGGTTTCCCGATGGACTGGCCTGTTAAGTGGCCTGCTGGCCTGAGGAATTTATTTTTGTTATGTATGTATTGTGAACGCAACGCTGCGCAAATGTGGGTCGGACTCTGCCTCACAGAGGGTGACTGGCTGTCTACATGATGTGGCCTGCCGACATGGCCACTTCCATACAGATCATACTAATGCCCTCGATTGGTCTCTGTGTGTCATTCAAGCTCGGGAGCTTGAATGTGTGTGGCGCGAGCGAGCGAGAGAGAAACCGGTTACGTGTATTGTTGTTGTTAGCATCTGGTGCTAGTTAGCTGCGCTAACGGTTCTAATGAGCTGTCAACAAGGTGGGGGGAGAGTCCTCTGCTGTCAGACTGAGAGACTGATAACTACAGCTCAGGTGAGGTAAAGGACTCTGAGTCTTTAGATAGTTAACTTAGTCTAAGTTCTCTGTGGGTCTCAAACGGTTTGGTCACCATTTATGTAAACACATATTTCCATTTGAACGGGGAGTGATTAGTAAAATATGCATGAATAATAAAAAATAAAATGTTAACTAGGTGAAAAAAGGTAAGATAAACTTTATAAACTTGTTGAGAGCTAAAACTAGTCTTTGCTGCTGCCTCAAAGAGGAGCAGGGGGAGAGGGATACAGGTGAGGCTGGTTCAGGAGCACAGACACACTCACAACTATAAATAAACCAAAAACAAATAAATAAACAAGTTTCAATGTAATTTCATATTGGTTATGGCCATGTTCTTATGATTTTATGATTATTTAAATGTATACAGTTCTGTTTCATATGGGTGTTGTCTCTTTATTTCCCCCTCAAAGTGCACTGGTTGATGCATTTAAGTCCAACATTTAAAAAAAAAATCTTACCGGGGGAGCATGCCCCCGGACCCCCCTAGAGGAATTGAGGTCCACCTCCACTTAAAATATGTTCACGTGGATAGGTTCCTAGATGTGCACAGCAACGCCTAAATAGATTTGCACAGCAACGCTGTATTGACAAATAAATCCAGGAAAATGGCACAAAAGAAAACTGGTAGTGGCCTGGCAGCGTGTATAATTCCCGGCCTGACTTATTGTCCCAGTCCGGCCCTGCCAGCCTCCTTAGCCTTTTCAATCACAATCATTCAACTGGAATAAAAACAATATTGTTAACATGAAAATATGATTTAATGTTCGTTGTTTAGATGTATTCTAAGGCTTTACTCATTGGGAACTCGGTATGAGATAGAGCACACTGTTGAGATGTCCAATCTGCCTGTTTTACACACTTTGACCAACAGGGGGTTTGTGTTCAAATGAAGCCCATGATGAAGCCTCATGAGATGAACCCTTTTGCGAACCAATTGGCTGGAAAGCTTCAAAGCTTCATAAGGCTTCATCTCGCCATCACTACAGTCAAGTGATTCATTCAGGAAATGAAGCAGTTGCTGCTTCGGACGTCACATGTCACGTGATTTGAAGCAGTTGCTGCTTCGGACGTCATATGTCACGTGATTTGAAGCAAGTTTCGAAGCACTGCTTCTATGGAATAGGAAGTCCAGGGTTGAAGCTCCGTTCGAAGCTTCAGTGTCAAACTGCCATCACTAGTCCTACCTGCTTCACACACCGTGACACATTCATCCAATGTCAGACCTTTTAACAAAAGTTTCAATGCTTTTCTTTCATTATAATGTGAGTAAAAGGTTGAAGAGATCAAATGTATTGCTAGCCCCGAGCCCCACTGGCATGTTTTGGACCTTGGTATTTACAAAATCCTGGATACGGGCCTGTATGCAGCAAACAGTCTTTGCTTTAAACACACATAACGGTGTTAGGCCAGAGCAAAAAAGTGTTGCAGCTTTTCAAATTGACGTACTGCGTAGTGCGCACACAGCGCTACCTTGTAATGCAAGTGTTGGATGTCCCTCTCGTCAAACGGACTATAGCAGAGGATAGTTTAGGTTTGCTAATGGCAGCACCTGACCGCCAACGTGGTGTGCATACGTCTTGGAGTATCCGCTGGGAACACACTGCTCCCTGGGTAAAGCAATATTTGTTCTTGTTAAAGGCAAAAGGATCAATGGAACATGATTTTAGAGGGCTGAGTAGAGCAGCCTGTGAGAAGTGCCTGTACGCAAATAAAAGTCACGATACGCCAAAGAATAAAATGTGGAAGTGCCGGTACTGTGTAGCGGTGAGTAGTGGCCCACTTCGGGCACTGGTTTTAGCAATAACAACCCAAGACCCAGGCTCCTCCAACAGAGTGACTTTGGATAGACATAAAGGAAATAAAGGAAAATAAGTGCAATAAAGCTGTGAAAGTGACACAATTGTTTTCATAAATTAAGCCAATCACAGCATGTCCCCTCTCAATAAATTAAAAACTTTGTCTGTTTATTTATTTTATAAGATGAGTGATTCATGAATGGCAATTTATTTAAATTAAATATGTCTTATCATAAAAAGTAACGTGTAATAATGGATTATGAGGACGACGAGAGTGTAGTAATGTGTACAGCAGTTCAAGTAGCTTTTTTAAAGTCTCTTTGAATTTGGGCTTGATTGGAGTTAGTGTCAATTTGTGGAGTTTTTGTGTTTCTTTGAGTAAAAAGGTCTAATTGAAATCAAAATGTGAGCATGGTTGGACATGATTACCAAATCATTGAAGTTAACTAACCAGCTGTTGTCGATTATTTTCAGTTCATTCGGAGCGATGACCTCTAAAGGAAGCGGGACAATGGAGGTGGCGGCGCTCGGACGGCCTTTCAGCCTCGGGATGTTGTACGACTGCCGCAACGACTCTCTCGTCCCTGGTGAGGAAAAAACATCACCTTTTTAAAAACAGACATTTTCTTTTTGCCAGGAACGAAACACACAGATGAAAAGCTATAAATAAGTTATTTAAGATTGTTTGTTGATAGCATGGACTAGATTGTTGTGATGTTGGAAGAAGCAGGTTTGGACTAGCTTGTTTGTGTGAGGCTCAAGTTCAGATTCTGGTCAAAGATCACACCCAGGTTTCTTGTCTATGGTTCAACGTTGAGGGCCAGGGTGTTGATTTATGTCAGAGACAAAGTTACCAGGAACACTATGAAAGACCTCGATTTTGTATGAATTTAAATTAAGGAGGTTAAGTGACATCCATACAGTCAGTGATGGAGAGTACTAATATTACCCATCACATTTTGACAAACATTAAAGTAAATCTGTGTGTCGTCAGCGTAACAGTGGTGAGAGATAGAGTGAAACTGACTGAGCCGGTTGCCTAGAGGTAAAGCGTATTAAGAAAATGTTTTGGGGCCAAGGATTGATCCCTGTGGAACTCCGCAGAGTAAAGGGGCAGATCAGGAAATTGTTTTGGACCAATTCCAAAGGTTGCCCATATCAACTCAAACAGTTGATTGGGATCTGAGGAATGCTTGACATTAGAGTAGAGATTGTTTTCATATAAAATCAGTGTGGTGTGGGGAAACAATGGAAGGCAGCTTTTATTCCAGGAGATGAGCCAATATCTTAACAAACAAAGGAGGCCATTGACAAAAGATTTACCAAAAACATAGAGGAAGTCTGGCAACAACTTGGCACCAAATATCTTTAAATGTTCAACAGAGAATCCATCAGTGCATGAGCTAAAGGACATAATTCAGCTATGACATTTTTATATAAATAATGTCCGCTTATGTGCCCTGTTGGATGGCCTCCAGGTCTTGTTTGATTGCAGCATGGAGATCAGCACTCTAGACGCCAGTTGTGACGTGAAGTATCCATCTTGGCTTTAACTACCTGCAGGAAAGCCTTCTCATCAGGGTTATTTTGGCCGGTGAAGGATGCTGGAGAAAGTAGTGCTGTCCTTATCCTTTGTTTGAGAGCAGAGCTAGCCAAACTATACACAGTGACTTTGGTTGAATACTTTTAGTTTAACATGCCATGACTATGGGCATAGATATGTCTCATAATTATTTGTGTGAACAGAAAAATAATTTGTGTGTAAATATGTGATTTGTAAAACACCACAAATGCATTTAAAAGATTTGCAAACTCACAAATAAATGTGCAAAGCAGAGATTTGAGATCCACGAGCGCATTTTTGATTGACAAATACAAAATGGATTCACAAATGCCTGATCGAAAGTTGTCAATGTTAAAGAGATATTCACAGATCTTTTTTTAATTTGTAAAAACATTTAGCGTATATGCAGATCCGTTTTACATTTGCAAATTTATTTGTGAGTTTGCAAATCTTTTAAATGCATTTGTGGTGTTTTACAAATCACATATTTACACACAAATTATTTTTCAAAAATAGACAAAATGTAAGCCCATACATGAGTCACACAATGTTCTACAATGTGTAGGCTACTGATTGCTGTTATCTGTCACTGTTACCGCTGAACTGGAAGTTATTTGACTTTTATTGTTTATAGGAATAAACTCAGGACGGCTAGACGAAGGTGCTCAGAATTCAAAAACTCAAAATGAACATCTGTTTCCTATAACTACCATATAAATAACCCAAAATAACCCTGTATCATCGTGCCTGGCCATATCACTTTTGTTATGGTTTTGCTCAACAACTGCGGTGTCTCCACACTGTCAGGTTCCCAACAAGGACGCAGTGTAACAGTCATGAAAATAGTCAAGTACATTAAACTGATTTGTGTCTCTTTGTCTTGTAAGCAAGACAAGCTTTCTCTATTATCATTAATGTTCTCAGGAATTGCATCACTGAGCAAATCATTGTATATTTCAGTTCCTAACAACAGCAAAGCTACAATTATTGGAAAGACGATGATTTGATTCCCCTTAAAGTTATAGTGTGTATTAACATCTAATCTGGTTCTAGCTTGATTTTGGTTCTTCTTTTGCAGGAATCACTTTGTGGGACTGTGATGACCTTAACAATCATATTAGAGAAAGACCACAGCATTATAATGATTGTGATATAGTTGCATCTGAATCAATTGAGGACAAATCTTCAGCACTAAATGTTGAAGCATCACTGAAGGCAAGTTTCTTGGGTGGACTGGTAAAGGTTGGTGGATCAGCCAAATACCTGAACGATAGCAAGACTTCCAAAGATCATGTTAGAGTAACACTGAATTACCAAGCTACCACAAAGTTCCAAGAACTGTCCATGAATCATCTTGGGGATGTTAAGAAACATCAGTTTGTGTTTGAGAAAGGAATAGCAACACATGTAGTCACAGGTATCCTTTATGGGGCACAAGCCTTCTTTGTCTTTGACCGTGAGGTGTCTGTCAACGAGAACCATCGAGACATTCAGGGCAACTTGAAGGTGATGATCAAGAACATTAGCTCCCTTTCAATAGATGGTAAAGGCTCGCTGAAAATGGAAGACAAGGACAAAGCAAATGTTGAGAAATTCTCCTGCAGATTCTTTGGAGACTTTTTGATTCAGAAACCTCCGACATCCTTTCAGGAGGCAGTAGAGGTGTACCAAAGTCTGCCAAAGCTGCTGGGAGCCAACAGGGAAAACGCAGTACCAGTGAAGGCTGTTGCCTCTGACATGTTTAGATTCTACTGCCGCTAAACTTGTCCGTCAGATAAGTATAGGATTAGTTGAAGAATGTCAGAGTGTCCTGGAGGACTTCAGTGACCTGGAGATGAGGTTCAATGATGCACTGAGAACCCAAACTGCACAGCAGTTCCCACAGATTGGAGAAAAACTCAAAACCTTTAAACAGAAGTGCTCTCAGTTCAAACTGGAATTCCAACGAACCCTGGCAAAGAAACTTCCATCAATCCGAGGAGTAGGAGAAGAAGAAGCTGTGCTCGCAGAGGAACTGAGGAAGACATGTTCTTCTCCTTTCAACAGCAAGGACCTGAACGAGTGGATGGACTGTATGGAGAGAGAAATCTACACCGTGATGTCTCTGACCGACATGATGACAAACACCAAGATCATCTCATCTCAAACAGACCTGGACAAAGAAAGCTTCAAAGCAGAGCAGGCTGTGTGTTTTGTCTTCACCTCGCTGGGAAGAGATGAACCGTACCTCTCAACTTTATCAAACTACCTTAAACAAACACCCAAACCAGATGATGCCCAAGATCCACACCCTCCAGATCAATGGTACAACTCAAGAGAAGAATGGGGAGCAATGCGGCATAAAGCAAAGCTCTTCAGTGATTTTGCAGAGGCCAAAAAGGAGAACAAGAACATCACATTTCTGACGGTGGGTTTAACAAACGAGACACAGAAAGGTGCCAGCATCTACCTTTATACAGACGGCCTTTCTGTCAATGAGAACTTTGAGCCGCCTTCAAAGCCTGCAACAGTAACAGGAAGTGATATAAACCACAGCAGTGTGACGCTGAACATTTCTCCACCCAGATTTGGAGCAGAGGACATCACCTCCTACTCTGTTGAGTACTGTGTCAGAGGAGAGGACGACTGGAAACAAGAGACAGCATCCAGAGCTGAATAAGTCACAGTGAGCGGCCTGAGTCCTAACACAGAGTACAGGTTCAGATGCAGGGCAGAGACACCAGTAGGTGCCGGGCCAGCCAATGAAGTCAGTGGATCCATTCAAACCTTACCCTGCAGCCCTCCTGGAAAACTCCACGTTGAATCTACCTCAGGTGAGATATCAGTCAGCTGGGAGAAACCTGCTGAGCTCGGACAAGATGTCCACGTTTTGAGCTACATCGTGGAGTACGCCGAACCAGACCAACAGGTGAAAGAGGAAGATCTCCACTGGGAGCAAAATATGGTGGGAGCTGAGAAGGCGATCATTTCAGGACTTCAGCCAGAGACAGAATACGCTGTCAGGGTCAGGTGTGATTGTGGTGCAGCTGGAAGAAGCAAAGAAAGCATCGCTGTTAATGTCCGCACAACAACACCTGCATATCTTAAAGAATTCCTCAAAAGTAAAAGCAAAATCATCAATACTGAATCTCCCTCAGTTTACAAACTGCCTCTGACAGAAGAAGACATGGACGTTGATGGATGCCGGAGGTACAACTTTGGCAAAGACAGCATGAGGCAAAATCGTACAATAATGCTTCTCGGAGCAACTGGATCTGGAAAGTCCACTCTGATCAATGGACTCATCAACTACATCGTTGGTGTAGAGTGGAAGGACGATTTCAGATTCAAGTTAGTTAACGAGGATCAGTCGAGATCTCAAGCTGAGAGCCAGACCTCTGAAGTCACTGTGTACAAAATCAACCACCAAGAGGGCTTTAAAACCCCTTTCTCTCTGACCATTGTTGATACTCCAGGCTTTAGAGATACAAGAGGAATAAAAAGAGACGAGGAGATCAAACAACAGCTTCTTAATCTCTTCTCTGCTGAGCGTGGCATCAGTGAAATTGACGCTGTGTGTTTTGTAGTTCAGGCTTCTTTAGCTCGGCTCACACCAAGACAGGAGTATGTGTTTGATTCTGTGCTCTCAATCTTTGGCAAAGATGTGAAAGAGAACATCCAGGTTCTGGTGACATTCGCAGACGGCCAACGCCCACCAGTTCTAGAGGCGATCAAAGCTTCAGGCGTCCCATGTCCTAAAACAGAAGACGGGCTGCCAGTTCACTTCAAATTCAATAATTCTGCCTTGTTTGCACAGAACCAATCATCTGCTGCTGCTGACTCCAGTGGAGAGGAGGAAGAGGGAGGCTTTGAAAAGATGTTCTGGAAAATGGTGGCAGAAAGCATGAAGACGTTCTTTGTTGCTTTAAATAAGCTAACAACCAAAAGATTGACATTGACAAAGGAAGTCCTCAGAGAAAGAAAGCAGCTCCAGATCTCAATGGAAAATGTGCAGAAGCAGGTTAAAGTAGGGTTAGCCAAGATTGAGGAGATAAACAAGACATCTGAACAACTTAAACTGCATGACGCAGAGTGCAGCAGAAATGCAAAATGTGAGTTTGAAGTAGTTGTCACAAGGCCTTTTAAAGTAGATATATCTGGCACTGGAACGTTCGACACCAACTGTCAGCTGTGTCATTTCACCTGTCACACAGAATGTCCATATGCCAATGATGCAGATAAAAGGAAGTGTCCTGCAATGGGACCAGATGGAAACTGTACCCAGTGTCCAGACAAATGTCATTGGAGTAAACATTTTAACCAGAAGTACAGATGGGAGTATAAGGAGGTTAAAGAAAAGCAAACCGTGCAGGAGCTGAAAGAAAAGTACCTGAAGGCCTCAAAGGCTAAGGGAACTGTTCAGGAAGTGATCGCTCATATGAAGGCTGAATATCAGCGTCTTCAGGCTGAAGTGAGGGAGATCATGAAGAGGTCTGCTGAGTGTCTGAAGAGACTAGGAGAGATCGCACTGAAGCCAAATCCTCTCTCCGGCCAAGTTAGGCTGGAAGCAACGAGTCGAGTACCTGATGGAGGTGAGAGGACAAGCAGAGCTCATGGCTAAAGTAAGGAGAGGAGAAAACCTGCTTTAAAGTGAAGAATCTCTAACCAAGGGAGAATTAAGACCAGTGACAACTTAGACCAAGACAAAGAGCTGAAAGCAATAGGCTCAAGCCATGATAATGACCCAGACATTTTAATGACTATAGATAACCAAGGGTTGGGACCAATAAAGGACCATGTCGTACTTTATTTGCTTACACATCGTGTTTTAACTTTATTTGTCTAAATCACCATGGTTTCAATTTTGTAAACTAACTTCTTACAGCAAAGATGTTTTATGAATGTTGATGAATCTAAAAAGTAATCCTTGAAAGAAATGCTGAATAGGAGATTGACCTGAGTTTTAGAAGCCAGAGGAACAGAAGAGTTAAGTCAGGATATTTTGTGTCTACGAACGACATGTGTGATTTTGTTGTTGATTTTTGATGCTGTGTTGTAACGCCAAAGTAATGTTGTTCAAGCCATGTCAATAAAATGGAAAGAGTTTGAAGCCTAATCTTTCCTCCAATCAGAGTCCATTGCTTGCTGAATGAGAGAAGCCTGAGGCCAAGCCAGGTTGGGCTCAAAGAGTTCAGTACCTGCTAATCATGAGAGAAAAACTATGAGTCTCGACACTTGAGAGACTGAGAATTCAATATGTTTGCCACATTTTATTTGATATGTTTAAACAATTGTATTTCTGCAGAAGTTATGTGATATTTTTGTCAGGTTCACCAAACAGGAGATAACAGATGAACCATGTTTGTGGGAACACATTTTGTGCATGGACAGTTCATTGTGCAGTGTTTTTCCCTGTTAGGATCATTTACATATTTCATGTATGCAGTTTACATTGCTCAATAAATTACATTTAGCTGACGATTTGATCAATAACGACTTACCATACAATGTTTTAAAAAGATCTGTTGCTTATTGTTTTGTATCTTCTCTTCAGGTATATATATACTTTAAATATACTTAATGTAAACAATTATACTGATGTTTACTGAATTGCATGTTATTGTCCTGTAGTAATTAGGTGAGGGATGAAGAAAGTATGAAATGATTAAAAAACTGTATTGTATCTCCTTGACTCGTGACCAAAGACTTGAGACTTGACTTGGACTTGCAAAAAAAGACAAAGTAAAGCTCTGTTGTCCCCATATCAAAGTGGGTTCCAGAGGGGTCGGAATACAATGGATTTTATATTGTGCTTAGAATCAGACATCAGGAAAGCACAGACCAACAAGGAAGTAGTGATTGCAGTCTTCTTTGATATTGAAAAGGCTTATGACATGCTCTGGAAGGAAGGACTACTAATCAAGTTCAAATCATTGGGAGTTGGTGGTAAAGCATATAATTGGGTTATGAATGTTTTACTGGACAGGAAAATACAAGTAAGAGTAGGAAAGAACTACCAGTATGGCGCATAGTCCAGAATTATTCTACAAGATATCACTCAGACTCAACAATCATATTTACAGATGGCTCCAAAGATCCAGAGACAGGGCGTGCAGGGGCAGCAGTGTATATTCCAGTGAGTAATACACATAGAAAGAAAAGGGTAACAGACCATGTGTCAGTATACACCACAGAGTTGTTGGCATTGGTACTGTCATTGAAATGGATAGAGGAGAAATAAATACATAACAGTGTAATTGCATCTGACAGCTTTTCAGCATTATCGAGTATACGATCAGGCAGATCTTCATCTAGAATGGACATCATAAATGAAATATTTCTAATTTGATATCAAATGCAAATCAAAGGCATAGCAACTCGTTTCATCTGGGTTCCTGCTCATGTTGGTGTGGAGGGAAATGAACAGGTGGATATTCTGGCCAAACAAACACTCAGAAGTATGAACATAGACATAGAAGTTCCACTCAGCAAAGCGGAGGTTCAAACATTCATTCAGAAATATGCACAAACAACATGGCAAGATCATTGGGACCTTAGTGATACAGGAAGACATCTTTATCACATTCAAAGGTATGTGGGGGATGGAAGGAAGGTGGGGTTTAAAAGAAGGGAGGAAAATGTCCTTTCTCTGATGAGAATAGATCATACAGGTCTCAATCATACTTTAAGTATAATACAGGTCTCAATCATACTTTAAGTATAATACAGGTCTCAATCATACTTTAAGTATAATACAGGTCTCAATCATACATTAAGTATAATACAGGTCTCAATCATACTTTAAGTATAATACAGGTCTCAATCATACTTTAAGTATAATACAGGTCTCAATCATACATTAAGTATAATACAGGTCTCAATCATACTTTAAGTATAATACAGGTCTCAATCATACTTTAAGTATAATACAGGTCTCAATCATACTTTAAGTATAATACAGGTCTCAATCATATATTAAGTATAATACAGGTCTCAATCATACTTTAAGTATAATACAGGTCTCAATCATACATTAAGTATAATACAGGTCTCAATCATACTTTAAGTATAATACAGGTCTCAATCATACTTTAAGTATAATACAGGTCTCAATCATACATTAAGTATAATACAGGTCTCAATCATACTTTAAGTATAATACAGGTCTCAATCATACTTTAAGTATAATACAGGTCTCAATCATACTTTAAGTATAATACAGGTCTCAATCATACATTAAGTATAATACAGGTCTCAATCATACATTAAGTATAATACAGGTCTCAATCATACTTTAAGTATAATACAGGTCTCAATCATACTTTAAGTATAATACAGGTCTCAATCATACATTAAGTATAATACAGGTCTCAATCATACATTAAGTATAATACAGGTCTCAATCATACTTTAAGTATAATACAGGTCTCAATCATACATTAAGTATAATACAGGTCTCAATCATACTTTAAGTATAATACAGGTCTCAATCATACATTAAGTATAATACAGGTCTCAATCATACTTTAAGTATAATACAGGTCTCAATCATACTTTAAGTATAATACAGGTCTCAATCATACTTTAAGTATAATACAGGTCTCAATCATACTTTAAGTATAATACAGGTCTCAATCATACTTTAAGTATAATACAGGTCTCAATCATACTTTAAGTATAATACAGGTCTCAATCATACATTAAGTATAATACAGGTCTCAATCATACTTTAAGTATAATACAGGTCTCAATCATACTTTAAGTTGTTGAGATCTAGTATAAAGTGAATACTTAAAAACGAAAGTTAGTTATAATCAAATATAATCAATTATATTCTTGTATAACCCACAATGAACATGCTTCATATTTTAGGTTTTTCTATAGTTACAGTATAAACAAAACAAAGTGGTTTGTGTAGGTTGAGTGTGTAAGGGAACATGATATATGGGTGTCTGTGAAAAGAGTAGGCCGTTTTTCTCTCTCTCTCCTCTGGCAGCAGTGCACAGGAAGAGGGGCTCCAGACGTGAGGGAAAACACAGAGGCCAAAAAGAGTTCATGTCCTTTTCACACTAACATAAAAGGGGGGGGGTCTTATGCCATATAGCTATGGAACATGTCAAGTCATGTTTTAGCCCTGTACAGTAGAAGCCATGCCCAGTTTTTCCTGATGTGGGTGTGGAAGAGGCGTTTTGGAAAATGCTATCGGGGTTTTTGTGCATAAAGACAGGGGTTGAGAGTAAAAAGGGCCAGAGCTGGGTTAATAGCTCTCGGTAAGGTCCTTCCAGACGGGGTAAATATCTCTCGAATTTATTGGTTGTTGGCTGAGTGGAATGATTTGATGAGAGATGTGTGTATGAACATTATAAATACTGCCATCTGTGAGGAAAATCTCCCCTCCGAAATTGCAGATAGGTATGGGTTTTTAAATGTTATACCCGCCGTCTGTGTCGGAAAAAGTGTATGAACATTATAAATACTGCCATCTGTGAGGAAAATCTCCCCTCCGAAATTGCAGATAGGTATGGGTTTTTAAATGTTATACCTGCCGTCTGTGTCCGAAAAAACGGTATGAAACTGATGTGAATTGAGTTGGTGAAAATGAAAAAGTTGAATGCGCTTTTTATTGTCACCGGTCTTTTTACGAGGAAATACCTCTAAATTCTATCGGGAGAATTTTAAAATGTCACAACTGAAATGGGCAGTTGAAATTAAAACATTTTGGTAATAAATGTAAGACTGTGAATTAGAGTTTCATTTGAACATAATCACAGCACCAGGTTTTTAGTATGATTATAATGTTGTAAAGAGAGAAGGTAAAAACCCTGTATTAGTTTGGACCTATTTTTCTTCAAATAAACTGAATCCCACCTGTTGGATTGGGATCCTTTAAAAGACACCTGTGCCCTCCTCTCCTGCGTCAAAGGTAAGATTGCACCCTGCCACACACACTTAGGTAGGAGCACACTCCATTTACTGATATCAAAATCCTTCGGGATCGCTTAAACAGATTAAAAAAGAGTTGTCTGAATTGAAACAGCAGTTAATTGAACCTGGTTCTTCGGGGGGGTTAGGAAGAGGTGAGATCTTGCTGACGTTGGTGGATCTGAGCCAAGCAGCAAACTTACATAGACTCAATAATCTTCGGAAAGGTCAATTAGGAGGTCAGAGTAATTTACCGGAATAAATTATCAGGACCTCTCAAAACTCTAAACATGGCGCCCAACGTGGGGCTCTGTGAAAAGTAATATTTTTACAGAGTCAAAATACAAGAACCAAAACGACCTAGTGAAAAAAGTCGAGGAATACAAATCAGCGAAATACAGGCTGAAAGTCTTGTTAAAATACCTACCCCAAATCCTAGAATATATATAATTAAACCTGAAAGTGTAGTAATTTAAGTTAATACTATTGCACCGGACTGAGGGTTATATTATATCGGATATAGCTGTCTGATTAAAGAAGCTAAAGAAGGTTCATTTTCCCCTAGTCAAATTGAGAAGCCTGTGGTCCCTTTAACACAGGTTTAGGTGGCTAAAGTGAAGTCAGCCGTAGGAGCACTGCTCAGTACTTGTCCAATTACTTTGAAACTTGTAGGTAGGACTTGACCAAGAGCTGCGGTTTGAACTTTTGCGTTAAAACATAACGTGGGGAAGAGTTAATGGGAGATTTGATAAAGATAAACATAGGTCTAAAGGTACCTTATGCTGTTGAAAAAATGTGAAGCTCGGTAAATATAACTCTTAGCTGAGATACCCGCATGTACTAACTGAATCCAGAAAGAGAACTTAGAACCAAGTGACGGTATAGTCGGACTGATCACCCGGCGAGAGTAAAGCCTAGGAACTTGCATGTGTATAAAAGAGTGAACTTGAACCCTTTAATACATTTTTGTGTTGTTTTTTAAAACAAACAAACAAAAATAAATAAATGGCGGATGAGGATAGAACACAGTTTAATGACTCAGAGCCAACCACAGATGGGGAGGGATACACAGAAGAAAAATCCGGAGCTTCTGCCCCCCCTGGTCGAATTAGCCCAGACCCACGGGCTTACCGCGACCTAAATACCTTCCTATCAGACTACCGTGTAGACAATGTGCAACAAACAGGTGGTATA